TTTTAGTGGAGTTTTTGCTTTCAAAAATATTTGTGGTGTTCCATATATAGTCTTTTTAATTGTGCAGGTGATTTTATTACTTGTGATGGATATACGTTATGATAAAGTCATCTGCGACAGAAGCCTCTCCCAAGGTAAGACTTATTTCTTATCCTTACAATTTCTATATTCACGTTTAAGGACAGGCAGTAGATGAACCATATCGATGAATGATATTTATGTCAAAAACAGAATGCGAGCATAACGATGCCTGGAAATTTTTTATCCATCGTTCCGACTGTATTTTTAGGATTGGGGCAGTTAATTAGTTTTCAGTTTTCCAGTATTATTTCACGATAGCTAATTACATAGGTAATGTTGGAAGAGATATTAAGGGCACATTTGTTATAGCAGGACAGATTATGACTATAGATAAACAGAAGCATTTAAAATAGTGATCTCAGTGTTTTTTGTTTTTGTTTTACTTTTTTTTTTTGTTTTTTAGATATAGCCATATTTTTCTTGTTTATCTAAGATGATGTTTGTGACAATACTGTATACCATATTTGATTATGATACCAAGGCTGTCACAGTAACTTTTGAAATTTTCAACTGTCTTCTGTCTATTTTTTCGACGTTTGTATGTTTGCTCAATTTTTTTATTTTTTCAAATATCACTTGTATTTTTTAATTTATCGTAGGATATCTCTTTGCATATACTTCTATCAAATTTCTCGGTTTTTTTTTCGTTTTCTACCAACTTTCACGATGATATTGTGTTTATATCCCAAGATATGAGAAATAAAGCACTTCGTTTTGAGCATATTGAACAAATATATATACATATATATATATTTAAAATAAGTATTCATTATATGAAACAGAGTTAAGCCAAAAACATTTTGAGAATCCTTTGCTAGATGAATTGTACTTGTATGATTTTTTCAACTTATATAAGTTATGAAACTTCAATTCGGGTATAGTAGTTTGTGATAATTGTACCTCCTTGCTTACGTGGTTGTTAATTTTTTTTCCCCCTCATAAATTAATAATGTGTTAGTAACCGTGATTGGTTGAAGCCAATTACAATAATAGTTGGATAAGTCAGATAGCATGATGCAGTAGACGTGATTTTTTGAACAAAAACATTGCTAAATGACAGATATAAAATGATTTACATTGTGGTCATGTTTATTTCAATTAGTAAAATGGGTGGGACAGCAATGAAGGGTATACGATATTGTTCAAAGTAATGATTCTCAACCTTTCCTTGTCCGGAGATCACTTTTGCTTCTTTATTTGGAGCAGGGGTCATACAAGGTAGGTTCGCAAATAATAAATTCTTGTAATTTGAAAATAAATTTAAACCATCACTTCTAACATAATAATTTATCGAACATTAATAAGGACAACCCCCGCCTGTGTTTTGTTCTATTCATCGCGTTGTTACCCTCACTGACCATATTTTAGTTTTCGCGAATCACTGGTTGAGGACCACTAGTTTATAGGAATAATAATAACTGCAAAGAGGGAAAAGGGAAAAGAGGAAGGCTGGAAGATGAGGTCAGAAGAGGAAGTGGTCATTATTGATTGTTTGACCCCAAATAGGTTGTATTATTATCCCAGGAAAAGAAAGTAGAAAAGGAGGAAAAAGCAGTATTGGCTGTTGAAATATTGTAACAACTTGACTGTTATCTGATTTGTTCTTTTATGACCTTCCTTTTAACCTCATAAACTTTTTCTCTCTCTCTCTCTCCCTCTCTCTCTATTCATCTCTTCTAATTGTAATTAATTTACCAAGGTTTTTTTTTTTCCTAACGTATAATTCATCACTTTTTATGTGAAATTTCCCTAATTTCCATATCTGATATGAAGTGAAAGATAGGAGGGTGACAAAAACGATTTAAAATATTGTGTTTGTTTATTTTCCTTCTTTTTTGTTTTTTTTTTTTCCTTTCAAAAAAATGTGATAATCAAATTTCTATGATTTCAAATTTTAAAATTATTTAATTGGTAACTTAGAAATAAGTAATTGATTAGTGTTTTTCTTTTAATTTCAGAAAATAATTACATTAAAATTGCAATGAATCGTTTCACTTTGACATTTGCATTTCTTCTCTCAACAGTCTCAGCAATTACCGGTACGGTAATACTTCAGTTCCTTTGTTAAATACTATCCTTTTATCAAAATGAATATTTTAAAAAAGAAGATTTCTATCGTTTTTTTTCTCCTTATTGAAATATGAAAAAAGTTTTAGTATTTTACTAACTATTCAATATAAATTTCTCAATAAATAATGGGAAATGTTCTAAAATGATGAAAGTAATATGCTGAAAAATCTGAAATTTAAACAAAGAGCATCAGGTATTTACAGATTTCAAATTATGGACGAAATTTTAGGATTTAATTGAATTATTGTAGCTGATCGAATTCAATTTTACTGCTAATGATTATATTATCAAATTTTAATTTTAATATTTAAATTTGAAGTTTTTTTTTTTCAAAAACTTTATTCATTTAAGCTTTATGTTTGGCACATTTACCAGTTCCAAATGCTTTGGTGGCATATAATTTGTTATCACCAATACCTGATCTTTTTCATAATACTGGTTCAATGGCTGTATTATCATGTAATTTGGGATTTGTCGTAAATGGTTCATCAATTACAAAATGCACCTCAAAAGGCATTTGGGAACCAAAATTGGGTAAGTTTAAAACTGATAATAGAAAGATTTATTTGCAATGAATAAACATAACCATAAAGCCAATTATATGCTAGTAATGATAAATGATGAATAGAAGATTGTCAGGGATTGAAGAAGATACGTTGATAAAACAGAATGCCGGATTCTCAAATTTAAAACTCAGAGAGGGGAAGTTTGTTTACCACAATCCACAAGGTCAAATCGATTAACCCTAAGATGACCTTTATAACATTCAAGGCGTATAGGAATATTAGAGTAATAAATAACAGCATATATATAAGAAGCGGCATATATGATCAAAGAGAGTATAATTACAGTACCATACAGTGGCACGTTTGACCTTTACAACATTTGGACAAGGACGTAAATAATAATGCATGTTTGACCTTAGCAAATTTTAAAAAAGTTTGACCTCAACAAATTTTAAAAAAGATGTTATATTTAAAATATTATAGAGTTTCTGACAAATACTGCAATTGTTTTACATTGAAGAGATTGTATAATTTTTAACAATAAAATAAATTGTAATTTAAATTTAAATTTTAGTTTAATTTTATTACGCAATTTTTCTTCTATTAATTTCTTTACAAGAAATGAATTAAAATTTAAGTTTTTGGCATAAATTTCATTGAATACTAAACATATTTCTTCCAATAAATATAATAAATTGCAATATTTGATATGGGTTAAATGTTGAAATCTACTGGAAGACGATGTTTACCTTCAAATCCATCCCACTTTTTTCCCTTTTTTTCTTTTTTTTTTGAGTTCATCTGCTGAATAAACCATCGAAATAAAAATGATCGAATTTTATGTAAATTGTACTTTTATTATTTGAACAATACTTCAACAAATCATTCATAATTTATCATTTTATCAGGATCATGTGTTGTAATCTCTGATACGTTATCTAATTCTTCGGCATCAAATTTCAATTTACCTTGTGATCCAGTGAATAATCATCATACAGTGGGCATTGTAACATATATTCCGGTATATTTTTCAACAAATTTGAAATTAATTTTTGTCAAAAAAAATTAAATTAAATTTTTTTTCAATTAATTTTTGCCGTTTTTTTATTGTCATTAAGTAACAATTTCATATATTTTAAAGTTCTTTTTTTTCCAAATTTCGACATCTTTTTTATTATTTTTCTTTTCGAAATATTTTTTTTCCAATGAATTCATCATTATTAACATTTAATATTTTATCAACACAAAGTCATTTCTGAGGTAAATTTAGCTACTCTTCATAATTTTTCATTGTAAAATTTCGACAAATTTTTTGCAGAATTCAAAATTGGAAAAGTTTCAAAAAGGTACTGTAGCATTATTAACATGTCCATTTGGGCAAAGAATAAATGGTGGTGCAACATATGCAATCTGTCAGGATGGTAAATGGTCAGCTAAATTGGGTAGCTGTGAAGAAGCCAAGTTGAAGATATTTTTTTAAATACTTTATAATATCATTTCATTACATTCACCATATTATCAAACATATCATTTGTAGCATTTCTGTTTAACTTTATTTATCCTTCTATGCTAAATATTTGCCATCTTATGTTAGTTATATCTATTATCATATCAAATCATTCCAAATTTGCATTATTATTTTCCATTTTAGATCATTTTAATTTCAATTACTTCCATTCATGCGAAACTTTGAAACGATTATTATTTGTTGATTATTTCCGATGATCGATTTAATGATTTCTGATGATTTCTGATGATCGATTAATTCAATTCTTGGTCAACTATTCAGACAGAGTTTTTCTCATACTATTTTATTCGTGAATGCAAGATGAATTAAATATTGTTATGCGATGATCAAGTATATCGTCATTTGTATCATAACCTTATCATAAATGATTGTCAACATCCAAGTTACACTTAATATCAATTCCTGGATTATCTCCTAACCATTCGTTTATCATTTAATGAATTCTCATCATCTTCAATTTTAAACCTACTATATCCATATAATTGTTATTTAAATAAATTTTGTCAACGTCTTTTTACGACGACAACATTTTTCATCCTCAATTCATTTCTAATATTTTCTCCTCCTTATGCTTTGCTTATTAAGATTATTGTGGGAAATTTTCAAATATAATTGAAATTAAAATTTGAATGTTTTAATGTTCATTGATCAATTTGTTTACCAATTGTTTTGAATGGAATCATTTCTGCTCATTTTCAATTTTTTTCTCCTCTTTTTCTTTTTTAATCACATGTATCATTTTTAAATGTTTACGAAAACAAATTTTTAATTTAAAATTAACAAAATAAATAGTACCTAGAAGAGATGCAGAGATAAGTCTGATAATAACTGTGATAATGCTGCTGATAGTTGTTGAACCAACCTATTATCCTCTTCAATACGCATGCATGTGTGTGTGTGTGTGTGTGTATGTCTGTGTCTGTGTGTGTCTGTGTCTGTGTCTGTGTACAAATATATTGTTATCACAGCTGATGCTAATGATTTAAAGCGGCTCATCACAAGTTCAAATTTTCTTTTCATTTCTTTCCATTCGTATATATAAATTTAATTTCTGATTTTTATGGAAGTAATGTTAAATGATTAATTAGACATAATTTAACAATCTTAACATAACTATTATCATAATACATATAAATAAATTGATTTCATATCATTCATTATTGTATTAAAGCATTTCCATCATATTGTTCATTTGAAGTTTTTAGGGAATAGCTCGAGCTCAAATGTTCGTGCTTGGTTCTAAGGGTCGCACCATTTACAACAACTGCCGCCTGTTGCTTTTTTACATCGAATTAAACAATTCGATCAGATTGTTTTGCTGTTTACAAATTCTTTCCACAACTTTTTTTTTTCCATCCTATCCATTCTATTTCATTCATTTCAGTGAATGTAAAATGGTTTCATATATTTTTCTTCCTTTCAATCGACGAATAATTCTTCTTTCCTTCTAAAGGTAATCTATTTGACTAATTAATAACTTCGTTCTTAATAATCATTTGATACAATGTAATAATAATGGAATGATTAATTTGAATGGAATAATTAATATTATCATTTTTGATTATTTATCCGGATCATTGTCTTCGATTATTCATCCGGATGTTATTTCTTAATCCGGAATATATTTGCATCAAATATTTTTTTCCATTTTATTGTTTTTATCTTTTGATCATCAAATCTATCGTTCATATGAAAAGATTTTTATTTTTAGCTATATTTCATATGATGGATTAAATAATTGCTCAACAAAATTTATTGATTCATATGGTTGAATTATGTTGGATGAGCTCGGCCAATAATTTTACGAAAATTTTCAATTTCATTAATTCAAAACATACATCATAATTCTACATATGTCACCTGAACGTCAGCAGTATTTATCAGCAATATCAGCAATCAATGGATCATTTAAACGTCAGCAATGTTTATCAGCAATATCAGCAATCAGTGGATCACTTGAACGTCAGCAGTGTTTATCAGCAATATTAGCAATCAATGGATGCTATCAATGAATGATCGGAGTGATGTAGGTCAAGAGAAAATGACCCATTGAGTAATTTGTCAACAACTTTGTCAAAGTAAATAATCAATAAAGTTGAATTTGACATATTCGTTCTTTTTTTTTCAGTAATATCAATAACATTAATGAAAATAAAAAGGATATGTTTGATAAGCTTGATAATATCTATTGGCTTTTTTCATTATGATAATAATTATTCCACTACTTCTTTTTTCTTCTACTAAACATTTAAATTAAAATTTTAATTAATTCTAATTAAGAATAAATTATGCCTTATATTTGATCTTTAATTACTGATTGTTTGTTTGATTATTCCAGTTGTTCATGAACTATTAACATAACAATACGCAGCATATTACTGTTACTGCTGCTAATGTTTCTCATTATTGTTGATTATTTCATGAGCAAAATTGATGGCTACACTTAATCATAATCATATCATTTCAATTTTAAATTTTTATTTTTTCAATGCTTCTTTAAATGTTTTAATATTAGCTTCCAAATCAAGCTATCAATACAAGCCACTCGACGCTTATACTGCATAATTAGGTTAATTAATCAATTAATTATGAATTAAATCTAAATTTTTGTTTTAATTTAATCCAAAGACAAGTTTCAATGGTTTTTTACAAATCGTAAAGAAAAAAAAAGAGTTTTTTAAAATCAAAATCATAATTTTTCGTAATTTATATCACTAAATTAATTATTTGTTGATATTCATACCCTACCGTAATTCGCGCTGCCACTTAATTTACCTTCACATTGCTTTTTTTTTTTTTGCTATTTTATGATAATGACTAATTAATTAATTAATTGATTGGAAGCTAATTTCTTACACGCAGCATATGTTTTAAAATTGAAGCACTTTGTTTTTTCCATGTATGTTTGTTGGATTTTCGAACATATTGAATAATTTTGGCATATTTCATTTTATTTCTTTTGTAATAAATCTTCCATTTGATAAATTTAATAAACGGTTGACCAGAGTTAAATACATTTTAATCCATTATTTCGTTGGCCTATCCGTGTTTTTCCTTTTTTTTCTTTTTTGGTTACCGAAATATATTGCTAAAAATTGGGAATTTCATTAATTTGAAATTCCGAAATTCAAACAAAACTTACTTTTCCTTGGAATCGTTTGACATTTTGATAACTTCCAACGAACTTAAAATTATTCATTCATTAATTTTATTCATCCAATCATATCTTTTGATCTCAATCAATCATTTTCATTCCCATATCTGTTCAGTTTAAATTTTAGCAAGTTATAAATTTGCCTAGTTTTCCACGATAAATATGCAATATTTTACACTTGTCATATGGCTGATTACATAATGTGAAGTTTTTGCATATTGGCAAATTTTAAATTGATATTTAATTTGCATATCTACTCTATAATATGTACCAAATATGATGAAATTCCTGCCACATAATTTTATTCATTTATGTTAAAAAAACTTAAATAATTAAATACCTCTCATAGGATTAAATGGAATAATTTATTGATTTCATCGATTAATATTAATTTTGTGCAACGAAAAAATGAGTCAATCTTGCATATCAATTGATAAAAAATTTGCTTCATTAATGATTCATTAATATTATCCATTGATGACAATTTAAAGTAAAACAGTAAGACAAAGGAGGATAAATATTGTATTAATTGCATAAAATATGAATTCTTGAGAAGCATACTAAAATTTATTTAATTAGCAGAAAATATTTAAATGATTAAAAAGTTTGAAAAGCGGAATCAAATTCAGCTATCAGATGGCTTAACCTAGCAACAAATAATTTCACGTAAAAGATTAATTTTTAATCATTTACTAATTATCATTTTGCTATTATTCAAAAAAAAAAATGGCACATCACATGACTGATTGGATTATAATAATTGTTGAAATGAAAATCGAAAGAAGATAAGGATTATTTTTAAAGCAGCTGATTTTTATTTTTATTTCATTTTTCTTATCAAACATTTTTTCTTCCTTTTTTTTTATTTTTCCTTATGGAATAAAGGAGCAATTAATATTGCATGATTTAAATATATAATAATGCAATTAAGTACTCAAATATATTAAATCATTGTGTAATCAATTTCCTTCTTTTTAAAAAAACGAAAATATTACACAATTTCCAGAAAATTTTTAGTCGAAAATTTTTAGTTGAGATTTTTTTGTTTTAAAATTTCACCAAAAAAATTTTTTTTTTTGAAAAATGATTTTTACAGCCCTAACATTCCCTCAAATTCGTTAATTTTTCTTTTCATCTTTCATTTCATGCAACTTTTTCATAAATTGACGATGTTATATGTAATCTTTGTACAGTATATTTATTTAATTTTATTAATTCTTTTCACAATTTCAGATATGATTCAAATCAAATTCAAACATTACACTTTGATCTTTTTTTCATTTTACTATTGTTTGAATCAATTTTGATAGTATTTATTTAAACTGAATTCAAATTAATGAACAAAGTTACAGTATGAATGAATATTATTTTAGATTTATATTTAAATTTATGTTGGATATTTAGCAATATAATCTTTCACAAATTGTGGATATTCATATGGCCAATTACGACATTGTACTTCACTTTGTACTGTAAAACGATCCAAATGTATTTCACCAACATCATATCTCATATTTCGTAGATCACTACGAATTTTATACATAGTATTCGTGAAGCAATTCTAAAATGTTATCGTAGAATCATTACATTACGGTAGAATCATTAATTCGACTTTTGAAAGGTATAAAATGAATTTTTACAAAGTATCGATTTCCTGAAACTATTGAAAACCTGAAATTATCAATCAGAATTATCGATTAATATGCAACAATTCCATCAATTAGTGTTAATTTGAGACTTTAAGAAATATGTCTTATCATATTTCAATTTCAAATTTGATATTAAAATTTTTGAGATTTAAAAGTATTTAAGCGTATAGTTTCATTAAATATGTTAATAAAAGTGAAGGATATTGTCAACGATGACATATGGATGACAAAAAGGTCGTTTTATCAATATGCAAAATGATTGAAGGAATGAGATGTATAGGATATAATGTAAACTTGACGAGATATCATAACAAAGAAGAAAATGAATTCTGATAGATGACATGGATTACTCATCTTATTTTTAATAACCAAATTATTCCTTCGTAAATAGGATGAAAGCATTATTAATCTTAAGGTAATTATTTTTTCCTTCATTAATCTAGAAGTAATTGACTTAATCTTAAAATAATTAAACACTTAAGTAACATCGTGTTAATTAACACTTAAGCAACGTCATGTTGACCTAGTAGGAATAAAAAGGAAGCCTGAAATTTGCTATGTATTCAATGGATAAAACACTAATTTAGGATTAACTTTAACAGCAATATATGAATGATTAATTTGTCTGTTGTGATTGTAAATGGGAAATGTTAAATGAAACAAATCCTTATATCACCTATAGGATGATTAATTTTTTTTTATCAATTTAATAAGAAGCAATGAAATTTCGGAAATTTCCACTAACCCGATACTTTTTCCGTTTTGAATTCGGTAAACAATGATGGGTAATATTCAAAAATAACTGATCCGATGGAATATATCTACGACCAGTAATTTCGAAATGGCCATCACGATCGGAAAGTTTATAAATGCTAATTCGTAATTTGCCATATTTCATTCCATCTTCTGTCTCATCTAGAAATTTCGTAAGTTTGTCAAAATTATTACCTCAAAATTTATCGCTATATAATAAGATTATCGCTTGAAATTGGTATAAGTTTATTTATAACAATAATAAGTGATAAGTAACAATATTGTGAAAAAGAATTGATAATGATAATGATACGTAATGAGTGATAAGTAGTGATACTGAAGTGATATTGACAATCAAATAATGCTTACAGTATAACAAGTGTTAGCATACGTAATGAAATTATTAAATGCAAATATACAAATTTGTGAAGAACTATTTTTCCAATTTTATAAAACGTGTAGTGATAAAATTATGTTAAGAAAAATTTCAAGGAAGGAAAATAACTTTTTGGCCAGTAAGTAAATCGAAAAGTTAAAAACAATAACAGTATGTAATTCAAATATTTAAAAATTACAAAAACAAACATGGAACTTCCTCTACAATGTTGACAAGCACTGCATAAGCTGGCACATAGTTGCAAATCATTATTCCGGAAATATAAACCGGTACCGGAACTTTGATTTTGCTTTTTGGAACATTATCTGTGGCTAATTTACCGATTGTTGCTAATGCAACCATAGGGAATAACAATATACATAAGTGAAATAAGTATAAACTTGTCTAAATTAATTAAATGTAACGTGGTGGATGCATTTAATAAAACTTGCGTTTCATTAAATTTAAATTTCATTCAATAGAATCTATGCTTCATTTAATAAAATCAAATAAAATGAATTTGCATTTATTTATGAAATTACGCAAGTGGATCAAATCATAATTTTAAAAATTACTAAAAGTTGTGAAAATAAGAAAATTAAAATTGTAAGAATGAAAGTGTTGCGATATGTAATTTGGATGGCGCAAATGACGTACACGCACGTGTCTTAACACGTCATTATAGGAATGATATTGTAGCATTTCAATATACAACATATTCGCTTATTAACCGGTAAGTTTAGAAAATCATTCTCTCTTTAACTCGTGCACAATCAATCGTTTGTCGTGTTAATTTGATATCAATTCCGGTTATGAATAAAAATTCCGTTTATATAATTTTTCTGTTTGATGCAAATTTTTTCTCTTTGATGCGTAAAAATATCTATCTAAATGCTTTTTTTTTCTCTCTTTCAATAAATCAGAAATAAATTAATTAAATAGTGGTTGTTATTCATTATGGTAATTTAATCATATGAAACAATTCCAATATCAAATAATATGTAATCTATCGATTTCATATAGTATTTCAACTTAACGTGACAAAATCAGTAATCATTCCCAAGATTATGCAAAATACTAATTTATATAAATAATGTTTCAATGATGAGATGTCAAAAAAAATGACATTTTTCAAGATCACGTTTACACGGATTTTACGTGAATTCATCCAAATATATTTTAATCAGTTTGATTGGTAAAAAAAAAGGAAACCAATTTCGAGACGTGCTATTATCAAATGTAACATAAATTAACAAAATATGACATAAATATTTCACGACTAACTTTTATTAAAAACCTCATTATTTCTAAAAGGTAAATAATTTGATGATAACAACAAATAATTTTACATAAAAAAATTTAAGCATATTAATTAGTTTTTAACTTTGAAAAGAAAAAGTCACTATTTGATTGATCCTTTAGCCGAGCGCAATTGTCTTTGGTCATTGAAATCGAAAATTAATTAACTGAAAATAATATTTCCAGTCCATTAGTTTTTTTTTTTAAAAAAAAAAGATATTTAACAGTGAGGAAGTTTCATTTCAATTTTACGAATGTAAATGAATTTCTTGTTAACTTTTATGGATTTGAATTCGTAGATTTTGTATTGGTTCATGCATAGTTTAAATAGCATTTAAACATGATTCGTAATCCGAATCAGGAATCCGAACCGGAAATGAAACTTTCAAATATGTTAACATGAAATGTAAATTTTTTATTGAATGTAAATCTATCAATAATTTTTATTTTGTAACCAAAAGTTTTGTTCGTCCGTCTGCAATTTTACTGACTAAAAATTTCATTTATTGATAAAAACATTCATAATATTAACTAACAAATCAAACTGAAGGAATTATGTCACATAACTGATAAACAACGATATGATAATTTATAATTTGATAATATGATTCGTATTCATATTGTTTCAGTAACAGTTTTCAGATTTTAAATTCAAATTTTTTAAGCTAATTTGAATTAAAAGATAGTAAAAGTATTCAGTTCACATGAATACATTTACAAAATATCGTTTTATTTGTTTTAGTTTTATTAAAATAAAAGTAATATGAAAATATCGAGAATGAAAAGTAAAACTTACAGGAATAATGAAAGTATTGATTTTGTCTTTTTTATTGTTCTTATAAAGAAAAAACATAAGATTTGTTACCTTTAACCTTTTGTGATTTGAGTTTAAAAATGAACAAAACAGTGTAATCAATCAATTAATCCATCAATCAATTGATATCATATCATATCACATCATTTTTTCATTTTCTACAAAGTATCTTATCATGAAATGATCACTAATTTCGTTTCAAACTTAACTAATTACTTGGAAAAGAGGAAAGATAAAACCTTCTAATTATTGTTTTGTAAACTTTTTCTCCAAATATACTATCAGAAATGTTCCCATTGGAAAAAAAAAGCAATAAAAAAAGAACAAAAATCAAAAGTTTTAATTAAAAATTTTTCGTACTATCACTATAATATTACAAATAAAAGTGGAAAATAAAAAACATTTTGTTCCATTAATTAATAATCGTTTCATTTAATAAAAATGATGTCAAATTTAATTTTTTAGCAAAATTTAATAAAATGTAAAAAATTGTTTAACAAAAAAAATACAAATTGTTTCATTTAATAAAAATTTACAAAACATTCATTAAAATTTATTTTGAAAGTATTTAAATATGAATATTTTGTTGGAAATATTAACAAATTTTTATTTTTGGTTTTATTATTAAAATGATTTTTAGCTAATTATTTTCATCTTTTCCTTAATTTCGAATTAATTCAAAAACGAAAAACAAAAATAAGAGAAATGTAATGTAAATGATTCCTATTTTTTCCGGTTATTACTTAACCAAAATACCAGTTTTCGTTATTTTTGATAATTGCTTTCCTTTCATTGAATTGCGTCACATGGGTTAGTTAAAAAAAAGAAAACAGTACTGCTATTGGCGTAAAAATTATTGGCCCACCTTTTTGAAGTGCTAAAAAAGGAAAACATTTTCATATTTGTTCGTTATTCGACAATTATGAATTTTCACTGAAATTAAAAACGATTAAAATTCAAAATTTCTAAATCTTTTTCCCCTTTTTTTTTTGCCTTTTTATTATCGTTTCCAATTTTTGTAAGATGAATAAATTCAACAAATAAATGAAATTAAACTTAAATTTTAAAATTAACAAAGCATTTTATTATTTTGTTTGTTATACAAAATTTCATAAATTTTTGTTTTGTCAATGAATTCAATCATTCAATTCAATTATTTGATTAATATGCAAAAAAAAAATTGGTGACAGTAATAAATTTAGGAAATAAATGAAAGTAAACTTGAATTTCTTTTTTAGTGTTTTACAGTGTTGTTGATATTGTGATTTTCTGATAAAATGGTGATAATATTGAAATGCTAATAATTTGATCTTTCATGTTTGGATATTGGAAATTAGATTTTGTGCATATTTTTAGATTCCATTTCAATTTTCATTTAATATGAAATTAAATTCGAATTTGAAGAAATGCTTAATTTTATTTAAAATAGATGAAGTTATGTTGAAGTTGTTTATGAAGAATAGCTTATTTTTGTTTTCAAATATTATTTAAAAGTTTAGAAAAAATTACTTGAAAAATCTTTGTGAAAAATTTAACAGCTTATCAGGGAAAAAAAAGGAAATTGAATTTTAATTACTAGATAGCTTTATATTTTCAAATGTATGAATGATTAAAATTATCTGCTCGTTTTTTTATTCTATTATATAAATAAATAAATAATTTATTTAAATAAATAAATAATTGTAAATAAATAAATAATAAATAATTTATGTAAATAAATAATAAATAAATAATTTATGTTATCATTCATCAATGAATATTAAAACAAAAACGACAATGAGATTTATTACTGCACAACAGTTATCTCAAAACATTGTTGATTGAACCGGATGAGATTTGAATTATTCCTGATCGCACTATTTGTTTACGTATGTGACAGTGGACAAAGTTTGTTTATAAATCTTTTCAAATGATTTTTGGCCGAGTTTTATTGTACACAGCCAAAAAAAAAAAAGCAAACAAAATAAAAGATATTTCTGGTTTGATAATAATTCGATTAATACAAAAATAGAAATGCTCTTTTTGTCATCGTTTTGTCAACCCTTTTTTCCAGTTCCAATTTGCCTAATTCTCATTTTCTTTCATATTCTTTTCCTTATCTATACCAAATGAATGGTTGTTTCAAACATTTCACTCCTGTTTATAGTCCATCAGAAAATTACACTTACTGAAACCATCTGAATCCTGTGATAAGGAACCAGTGAGAATCTAAGATACAGAAATCTCTTCTGATAAATATGTTTATATCTGATAAACAATATTTGAAATAGAAATAATCATTTCCAGAAACAATTCTCTGATTTTATATAAGACAATTGAAAATTATGCAAAAGAAACAGTCAAGAATGCAAATTCTCGAGGAATTATTTTTTGAAGAAAGTTACAAACTGGTATCATTTGATGTTATCATTTGAGTATTTCGCCATAATTAAATGAATGATAATATTGGAAAGAAAAAAAAAAGGATGATAATATAGTAGCAAGAATGCGACAATGGTTGTGATACTAATCATAAAATAGATAAGTTTATTTTATGCAAAAATAAACTTGACTAACTTTTACATTTGTATTTTTAATAGGAATTAAATTTGCAACTTAAATTACATTGTATAATTTGATGTGACAAAATTTTTGTTGTTTAATTGTTCACGTTTAATTAGTAATGATTTAATGATTATTTGTTTTGACAAGAGTGTCAACCCGATTATTTCGTTATTGCATTCCTCTCTTTCGATTTAACTTACTTCATCCTTAGTTTTTTGCTGTTATTACTAATCTTTCGTCTCGAATTGTTTATAAGTTTTTTTTTCCTTTTATTATTATTTGCAAAAATTTTATTATCAACGCTTATCATTACTTTTGCTGATAGCCAATTGTTTTACTTTGATAAAAGGTTTTAAGAGAAAGTTGGTTAACTATGGTAATAATTTTCATTGATAAAAGCATCGAGCAAAAATTTTTGAGACTGATATGTTAAGTTTAACATTAAAGTTATGATTAGCAATGCTTAATGTGATAACATTTCAATGTATTCTTTTGGCTAACATAAGTGTTAAAATAAGTTTCATAACAAATTATTTCATTGTAAAATAATTTTTTAAAATTTTAATATTTTCTGTCTATTTCAATGAAAAAATTATTTTAACACGATTTTTCTTCCTTCGAGAAAAAAAAAACATTGCTATACTAAAGGATAGCAATATTGATTGATTTTCAAAATGTGATAAAATTGAAATGCACGAGGAAATTTGACTATTTTAAACTACAAAAGATAATTTTTACTTAAATTATTTAATAAAAAATTTCGAATAATTTAGTTAATTTATAGATTTCAAATTGTGTAAAATATTTTATAATTGGACGAAATGGCAAACAAATTTTATGCTAAAATTGGTTTAAATTCTGAATTACCATGCGTAATTATGTTTGGTATGGCATTTATGCTTGTATTTGCTGGCTTTGATACCCAAGCTTTTATCACCGAAATAGCCTTACAATCTGTATCAAATACATATCCTGGTCGGATATCACCACATGCTGGATATTACGGGTAAATTGTGATATAATTTATCATTTCAATAATTTATTAAATTGTTAAATTTGATTAAAAGGAAGCTTAGCTATTACACAAAAATAATAAATAAGCAAGGATAAAAGCTTTAAATTCCTACTAAAATAAATAAAATTATTTAAAAATTTGTTTAAAAATGAAACAAAATTAACATTGTATAAAATTTAAATTGCGAAAATTCACTCGATAATGAAGTAAATGAATAATTAATAATTAATAATTCAATAAGTATTATCTTCAATGGTTAAACATTATTTTGTAGCATATAAAATTTTAATCAAATTAATTAGAATTAATGAATGTGTAATATTTGGTGACACAATTATCGGTTATTGTCATTTAGAAGGAATTTCATTCTTCAAATGATTAATTAATTGGCAAAACAAAAGCCAAAAAAATGAAAGTAATAAGTGATCAATTTAGGATGTGTATTACCTATTTTGTTTTTACTTTATCAACATTTATTACACCAATTGTGGTCACTTATTTGACTGCTAAATGGACAATGTTCTTAGCAAGTATATTGTATACAACCTTTATGGTCACTTTTATGTTCGTTAATAGTTATGCTTTTTATATTGCATCTGTCTTATTGGGTTTTGCAGCAGCTCGTAAGTTAACTTTTAAATATATTTAATGCTAAAGTTATCATTATTGATTAATCCTATCCAAATTTAATAACTCAAATACTTGAAAAGTTAAGCATTCATTCTTTTGTTATCTTTCTTATTCAAATATTTGATAACAATATTTTTTTAATGATAAAAATTATTTTCCATCTTTTCTTCTCCGGAATTGCGTAAACAAATTGCCGTAAACGAATGCTAAATGAATGCTATTGCAGTTATTTGGACTGGTCATGGTGTTTATATGAAAGAAATAACAACATCCGGTAATGAATCACGAAATAGCGGTCTTCATTGGGGCATCAATTTTGTCAGGTTTAAATATTATTTTTTATTTTTAACAAAAATACGAAGTTATTATTACTAATTTGAGAATATTTTAATAGCATGCAATAGAAGGAAATACGAAAAATGAATATTGGTGTAAACATACTTCGATAATACATATGTGACAGTTGACAAATACATGTGACATTAACCGCACACACATATCAGAAAGGAAGAATTTCTTTTTAGTTTTTATTGTTTTTAATTATGATTAATTTTTATCTATTTTTAATTGTATTCTTTTCGATGCATTTTTTAAATTTTTTTTTGCTTGAAAAGTTTAAGACTCTAAGTAGTGCTTTACGTAATTTTACGTGTCACCATTTATAATTACACTTAGTTTCCATTGGTTTCCACGTTTCCCGTAAAAACCATACACTTTTTTTTTAGCCTGATCATCGGTGGTATACTCTTACTTGCAATATTTGGTAAGACAGGTGAAGCGGAAACGATATCAATGGAACTGATTAGGTGATTATCGATACTTTTTTTCAACAATTACAGCATTTTATTTATTCATTAACAAAAATTGTCAACTTTATCAAGGAAATGTAGAGGTATCTGAAAAACAATAATTCTTGATATTTCCAACTTTTGTACTTTATTCAAATATTTCCGGTTTTCATTTTCAATTCCTTTTTTTTTCAATAAAGTAAATGCTTCAATAAGTAATCAATTATTGAGGCTGTTTGGAATTACAATTTTTAAGAATAAATGTTTTAAATCGTTGCATTTTCCTTTCTAAATGAGCAGCTAATAGTCATATCTTTAACTAAACATAATAATCTGATCCGGTTTATAATCCGGAGGTAAGCTTTTTGCACAGAAATTCCGGATAAATTCCCTTATCCCATGAATATATTAGAGGAGTAACCAATTTTTTTGTAATTTTGAACAGCATACCCTTAGCCAGATAATTAACTAATAACCTTAAATGGATTCGATAATTAGGGCAAACATCACCTCAATAAAATACCAATGAGAAATTATTGATTGTATAGGTGGAATTTTCCGGATAGCTTCTGATTTCACCAATGTTGACAATGAAAAGAAAAAAATTGAATGAGCCAACTATTAAACCATTTTCAAGTAAAACATTGTATTAGCAAAAAGTTTGATAAAATAATTATCAATCGATTATGAACCGGAAGATTTCACTCACACCTCAATTACATAATCCGGAAAACGAATTCTTGCATATATCAGAATTATTGCCAAATTTAACGAATATATTTCATCATAACAAAAATTTAAATTGGAAATGTTATTGGAATTGGAAAAGATCTTACAATAATCTATGCTTTTTACAAAATAAAAAACGGTAACAATTTTAAAATTACGAATAGATTTAAATTTATTTGTTTATATTTATGAAATATTGAAGATATATTTTTGGTGGCTTATCGACGTTTACAATTTTATCGAATATTTTATTCGCTTTATTACCCAATTATTCCAATCAATCAGTAACGAAACGTGATAGCTTCTTAAAAACAATAAGTAAATTGTTTTGAATTATTATAAATTTAACAAATACAATCAGTAAACTAATTTGTTAATTAATTATTCAATTGATTGATTGATCAGTTGATATCACAAATCACAAATTTTTTGTCATGTCACAAATTTTTTGTCCCAAAGTATAGTATAACTTTTGGACAATCTTTCAGTTATTACCAGTAGCTCAAATCATCTCGTCCTTATTGGTCAATTAAAAGTAATAGTAGTTTATTTAATTTTGAAACTTCAAAATTTTGAAACTTCGTCCAATTGTTATTTGAATTGTTTAAATTAATTTTCATATGAAAAAAAAAGATGAGAGGAAGTTTATAAAAGAGAGTGACAAAGTGTATTCAGTTTAAATCTTTTCAATATTTCATAATAAATTCATTTTCAATTTTAATTTTACAATTAAAAAAGATGTCCTAATATTTTCAGGTAAAAGTATACAGTTACTTACTGATATAAAGGTATATTTATTAGCTGTATGTTTCATGTTTATGGGCTTATCATTATCACTTTACATAACCATTTATCCTTCATGTTTATCTTTTTCCAAATCAGTCGTCGGTTTTGGTAATGAAATTATCGCTTATTATGCATTTATTACTTCAGCATCACAGATTTTTGGTTAGTGATAAAACATTTATATGACATTTGAAAATTAAAAGGAAAAGAAAAAAGGGGAGAATGATCATTTTATCAATGATGGATGATAATGGAAATATGATATTATCAATTATTTGATACAAATAGAAAGCAATAGCAAATAATGATAAGATTGGGTTGAATTTTAAATTATGAGTAAAATTTAGATTGAAAAAAACAAAAATACAAAATTTTCATATTATTTTTTCGTTTTTCATCATATTTAAAGGTCATGTGAATCGAGGTCAAAGGACATAAGGTTATTTTTTCCGTGTGCAGAATTCCATTTTTGATTTTTGTAATCTTTTCGCTTTAATCTTTAATATTCTAAACAAAATTTCGATAAATATTTATCTGAAAGCTTTTTTTTTTTGCACCTTAAAATTAGGTTAATTAATAAGAAATGCATGAAGGCAATTAATGAAATGGAAATTAAAATGAAGTTTTGAAGTGATACTTTTAAAAATTTTAGAGATATCTTTACAGGTGGATGCTTTATTAGTTTCTTAAGCAAACGAATCAATAACTTCGGATATATGCCAACAATGTTAATTGCATTACCATTATATCTATTAGCTTTTTTGGGCATTTGTTTGGCTTTTCCTAGAAATGCAAATTTAAGGCCAACAAATGATGCCACCTATTTGTCACCAAGGTTATTGTAAAAATTTGATAAAGTTGTCAAGTTTTCCTTCACGAATTCATGAGATTGTGCAGTTTTGTAATAATGATTATCGAGATAAATCGGTTTGAAATTGTTAATCTAATGGATGGATAGATTTGATGAAATCTTGAAATATTATTAAAATTTGTAATCTTTTACATCTCAAAAAGTTTAAAAAGTTTTGTTACTTAGTTTCTAAAACATTTTAAAAATTTTTAAAAGAAAAAAAACTTAAAAATTTGCAAAAATTCTTCTAGCCTATCAATATGGCTTATCATTGGAATGTTAATATGTCTTGGTGATAGTTGCTGGAATACATTACGAACAGCTGTACTCACAAAAATGTACCATCGTGATTGTTCATCACAAATTTTTGCATTAAGTAAATTTTTTCAGGTAATATTTATCTTTTCTATTTCAAATTCATTTACTTTGTAAAATAAAAAATATGAGATAATTAGATTAGATGTAATCGATATCTTTTATATTGACAGCTTAAGAAGACAATTTAGCTAAATTTCATATTTCATTTTTAATTAAATTTAATATTTCATTCCAATTAAATTATAATGAGAATTTATTAACTTGTAAGCATTTTTCCTTTTCAATTATCATATTTGGCATTACGGTATTTCACCCTACTCGTTTCCACATATTTAAATGATCGGAATATTAATTACTGTAATAACATTAATAGATTACATAATCCTTTTCATTGCATTATATTTATTTCCTAATTTAGTAATAGCAAAAAAAAGAACTCATAAAAATTGTAAAATAAATAAATAAGCAAATGAAACATACCTAAAATTGAATTATATTTATTCAAATATTTGAATTCTTTTTTCAACCATATTTTTTATTAAAATAATTAATATCTGTTAAAATATTATTACCATTATGTTATTACATTGTTCAAAAAGAATGAAGAGAGAGAGAGAGAGAGAGAAAGAAAGAGAAAGAGAGAGTAATTTATGTAGTAAGATAATGGTAATAACATTTACATTTACAGCGAAACATTTACAGACAGTAATAATTGTCCGTAAATTTTACAGTAATAAAACATTTGCAGAGAATTGCTTCTCTTATCTATTATTATCATTATTATCAGTATTATTATTATTATTATCATTACTATTATTTCTCTTGTTATTATCATAAAATTGAACCACATTTATTTATTTATTTATTTGAAACTTTTCTTCAAACATTAATGTTAGTTATGTTAATTAGCATTACTTCATTATTATCATTTTTAGTCGACGACAACCTGCGCATCATTTTTTATTCATCAATTTTGGATTTGCATACTCAAATGATTATTTTGACTGGTAGTGTAATTGCTGCATCGATATGTTTTACAATAGCTTGGAAGATACATCTCCGGGAACTCTCGAATATTGCCCGAGTCAAACATACTAAAACTGTTTCAATTGTATGTGGAAATAAGAATATATAAGTTTATTAGCTCTTCATATGTAAAAATATCACTGTATGTTTAAATTAAATATCACTGTATGTTTAAATTAATTTGGAAATTTTTATTAAAATTAATAAAAAATTCAATAAAATGATAAAAATACATTTGTTGTACAAAAACAAATTGAAAAGAATTGGAAAGAATTGAATATATTGCTAATAATTATCAGATAAATTACTAAATATGCAATCAATTAATTTATTAATTCTATTCCCATATGATTAAATCAAATATATATTTTTGAAGGATTTTTGAATCATTAATAATTCATTGGTATAAATTGGTTGATGTTGTCGTAAATAATTAACACCATTGAATTTTATTTTCTTTCTAAAAGAAGCAATTTACATATATGCAAATTTGGAAGTAACTTGGGAAAAATCTTTTTTCGCGTTTAAAATTTGCATAATTCTCTACTATATCAATCACAAGTTATTATCTCATTGTCAGCTCAGCAATCGGTTGGTGTTGTTATATCATTTTATCGTTTTATCATAAATAGTAAGAATTTAGAAATAATTTTATGGCATAATTGCAAACAATAAATCGTTAATTAATTAATTAGGATGTTTCGGTTTTATTGAAAAAATAAATGTTTGCAATACATCGATTTATTTTAGTAAAAAAAAAAAAAAAGGGAAAAGAAAATAGTCGCGCAATTATTTGGCTTTGTAAATTGACATAAAAAAGGATATTAAACAAAAAATTTTGACTTGGCTCATTAATTAATTAACGATTTATTGGTTTCATTAGAAGAGATAAATTAAAAATCACTTTTATCAAAACAATTTTATATCTGTTTTAGGTTGCTTCAAAATAAACTTTTCCGCTTTTATTGACTTAGAAAACTGAGCTAAAAAATACTTTTCTGCATCACCATTGTACTCACAAACTTCATTCAGAAAAA